TAAGACATGACCACTTTACCCACTTTGGCCACTTTGTACACCTTTAATAATCCTACATTGTTATTTGTTTTTAATGTTTTGATGCTGCAGTGTACCTATACGCAACACCATAATCGCAATTTCAAAAATAAAAAACTAAGGGTGTTACTAAGCTATGCATTTACTAATTACAGTTTTTTTTTTTTTTTTTGATGGAAGAATTTTTTGTTACATAAACACAAAAATTAAGGTGCTCATTTTGAAATTGGGGGTGTTAATACCCTCTAAAAGCCTCCCTATTTGCGTCTATGCGCAACACTCATATTATTACATTATTATATCTTTCTATCACCGAACGAGCTTGCAATCTTTCACATACATTCTGCTGAAGGCTATACCACCATAACATCACAATGTATTTTTCTCCCTTCATATATACTRTATAAATATTTCATTTAGAAATTAATGTAACCGAAAAATTCCTTATGTAGGCAGGGTTGGACTAGCTCTAAAAATTTGGCTGCGCATTTTACTTTGAAAACCTCTCAAGATATGAATATATTTCAAGTATACGTAAATACGTTAGTTGATAAAATTATTCAAGTTATTTTTTTGATTTACTTAATTGAAATAATTAATATTATTTAGTCATAGTACACCTTACCAATATATTTAACCATGGGTTTTGGTAAAAGTGCTTAGTACATATTATAATTATTTACATTTTTTTTTTATTAAATACAAAATAAAATATATGTGTACAATCTTTGAAATATAATATTTTAGTATACCAAATTTCGATTTTCTTTAACCACTTGTAGCAGWTATTGTCATACAAATACACGTCTACGTTATAGGTCCCCTGCGCATATATAGGAATCTTTTGTATATCACAGGTAGTCACACAAATTCGGCCAATTCAATTACTATTGTTTATTACAATACTCTCCCTCACTATCTCTTTCTCTCTCTTTCTCGCCGTATATATCTATTGTTGTGTAAGGAATGCGACCGTACAACTTCATGTATAACAATAACAACGTACGTCCCCGGCACACACACACCACCTGCCCAACCCTAAGGTACTTAATAGCTGATACCATCTCTTTTCGAGACTTCATAGTAATGTGATCTTACCTGCAGGTGTTCCKTCTTTTTTCTGACACTGCATCGTTTCGTCCATTACAATATGTGTAGGTAGTTTTGAAATATGCGAATGCTTTAAAATCTCAACCCCGGTCTTATGTGGTATATATATCGGTATGAAAATTGGCAACAACGCCTAAAACTTCCGTACGCAATCGTGTTGTTAAAAATCAGGTAAAATCGTACGGAATCGTATAATGGACGAAACGACGCAGTGTCAAAAAAAAACACCTGGTGAGATCACATTACCATGAAGTCTCGAAAAGAGATTATATCAGTTATTAAGTACCTAAGGGTTTGGCAGGTGGTGTGTGTGTGCCAGGGTGGCGGGGACAGTGGTGGTGACGAGCCGTTGTTATTGTTATACAATAGGGTGTACGGTCGCATTCCTTACACAACAATAGATATATACGGTGAGAAAGAAAGAGAAAGAGATAGCGAGGGAGAGATGATCATAGCCGGGAGGTATTGTAATAAACAATAGTAATTGAATTGGCCAAATTTGTGCAACTACCTGTGGTATACAAAATATTCCTATATGCACAGGGGACCTACAACGTAGACGTGTATTTGTATGACAATTACAGCTACAAGTGGTTAAAGAAAATCGAAGTTTGGTATACTAAAATATTATATTTTAAAAATTTATAACCGTTGTTGACGGGCTTATGACTAATAAAATAAAAATAAATATAATATGTAGTGATTTTAATTACCTACATATTATTATTATGTATTTAAGTTAACCCTAAGTTTTTATTAAAATTATTATTGAAATTGCGACTATGGTGGTACTGCAGTATCAAAACTTTCAAAATAATAACTTAAACATAAGTATATGCGTTTCAATGAACTTGAAACTTAATAAAAACGTTTTTATTCCCTGACAATAATTGACAAAAACTAATGGACGTTACATGGCCCCACATCAATTTCTCAACTACGGCACTATTTAGAAAAACAAGACCCTCATGGTATGTTATAATTTTATTACCTATCTATATAGTAAATATTTTGTAATTATTTTAATACAAATTCTAACATACAAGTAACATTTATTAATTTTACAAAAAGTACTTAAATTAATGGTTGTACAGCTTGTTTTCCTGTTCTCTGTACAATATGAGTGGTTTTAGTTATCCTAAATATAAGTTTCAAACATATGAATGTATTCTAATGTATTGCAGTTTAATATAAAAATTAACCCGTACATTTTGTTAGAATACAAATAACTATTAACAAATAAAATATATAGCTATTTATAAGGTTGCCATCTCTCCAGGTTACACCCGGATACTCCGGTTTTACAAATAAATCTACGGGCTACGGGTTCAGTGAATTATTCTCTGCAGGGTTATTGTAAAATTAGTAYTAATTTTGTCTAATACGTAATGTTCCAATATTGAAAATTTAAAAAAAATGTAAAGTACGATTTTAAACTTCAATAAACATATTTTGCACTTTTCAACATCTAATAAAATATGTGATTAAATTAAATTTTTTTCTTCAGATTGTTATACCTTTTATTAATTACATTTTAATTTTTATCTGTTATACGCATAGGTTGATAATATAGTATAATTGTATTTACCTTTTTTTTRCTTATCAGCCTATTTCGTCTCCGGTTTGGTTAAGTTAGGTATCCAATCTGAATAGTTTTTCGAATATAATGATATTATATCATTGAATTCTAATTTTAAAATATCCATTAAAGTGACCCAATTGTAACCTACTGTACAGCAGAGCGACATCTCCTTTC